GGGGTAGTGCTCCAAATAATGTTTTGGGATGAGCTTGATGTCTGGGAACAGTGTTGGTACCGCTGCCTGTGCTCCAGGATTTTGCTTTCAAAAAAAGCTAGTGAGTCATCACTATGTATGGGGGCAACAACAAGCTCAGGGATGTCCTTTAGATCCATGAGGATGAGCCATGCAGGCCCATCCTCAGGTTTTTGCCTTTTTTGGTGGGAAAAACAAAACTCCAAAACAACAACTCGCCCCTGTATCTTTGACTTGTCTGACATGGGTCTGATGTAGCTCCTTCGTTCTCAGACTAAAAGCACCAGATGCAACAAAATGTAGTTGACTTTCGCTGCTTCTTTCTGTGCATAATCTGCAATAGTCTTCCACTGAAAAACTCAACACTGTGAGCTCCGAGGTTGTCAGCCACTACACTGAATACTGTACCTCTATAAGTACACAGAGTTAACAGGCTTGCTGCAAAGGATGTAGGTTTTCCCACAATGTTCCGTTACCGGCATGAAAAGGTCTTCTTCTTGGTCTATTTTTGTCATCCAACTACAGGTGCGTAGTGGAAAGCGGGGCTTTCAAACAGTCCGTCTCCACATTAAATGGGTCGACGAGGAACGTAATCTGTGGTCTTTTCAGTTGTATATCATGGAACCGGGTCAAAAAGTTTGTTGATAAACGCAAACACACTTTGCACCAGGTCAGGCAGCATGTCGACCAAAAAGGCCGGATCCATAATCCACTCGAGGTCCGAGAGCTCGGGATAGTCCTTGTCCTTCTCTTCCATGAACAGTTTCACGGCATCCAAAAGCTCAAAGAAGCGAGAGAGTACCTGGCCTTTTGACAGCCACCTCACAGTGCAGTGCAGCGGCAGGTTACCTGGGATCCCCAGTTCAGCGATGAGATTCTTGAGTTGTCAATGTTTAAGCGCATGTAGTTGACGATTTCCATCACAGGCTTCATGACGTTGTTTAAATTCAATGATTTAGACACAAGTTTCTCCCTGTGGATGATGCAGTCTTAACAACGTCACTGAGGAATTCCCTTCATTGTATGGCTTTTTAGCCCATGCAATGTTCCAAGCCAGTTGATACGATGCTAGCGTTAGGGTCTCCAAGTGCTTCGTAAATGTTTGGAAAAACTGTATCTGCTTTTCGGCCTGACTTTTTAAAGTGACCAACTTGTGCTTGCGAAGTTCAGTCCCTTTTGGAAATTCCTGGTCGATGTTAGCATGGAGTGAGCTGAAGTGGCGCTGATGATTTGAAGCTTAGAAATGCGCTAATGACGCCTGACTCAAGGCAGAATGGCTTGCCATTACATTCAACAAAAAAATATAAACTCTCCCACTCTGTTAAAAACGTCCTGTGTTCATCTTCATATTTTCGTTTTGCTGTGCATTTTTTCCCTGCCATTTTGAGTGTGAACTTGACACAAATTGTTTACTCAAATGACATGGCCCCTACTTGACAACTTTGCGGTATTTTCATCTCACACACAGGCGCGTTGGACAAAAATACCTTATTGAACTCAAGCGAAGCGAACACGCACAATTAAAAAAAAAACTCAACCACAAACTTCAATATGAACGTAAGTCCCCCGACTTCGCGGCAAGTCCCCCGACTTCGCGGCAAGTCCCCCGACTTCGCGGCAAGTCCCCCGACTTCGCGGCAAGTGCCCTGACTTGAACGTTGCAATGGTCCGAGCTGTTCTTACATGGATGGGTAAACTATTCCAGAGGTTTGGAGCAGCCACTGAAAAGGCTCGGTCCTGGTTTTTAACCGGGACCGAGGCACATCGAGGAGCATCTGATTAGACGACCTCAGTGCTTTGCTAGGTGTGTGGACATGTAAGAGCTCCGACAAGTAGGAAGGCGACAACCCATTTAAAATTTTAAAAACAATTAATACAATTTTAAATTCAATCCTGAAACAAACAGGAAGCCAGTGGAGGGTGGCCAAAGCCGGTGTAATGTGGTCGCAGTTTTTTGTCCTGGTCAAAAGTCGAGCTGCTGCGTTCTGGACTAACTGCAAGCGACGAAGGGATGACTGATCCAACCCAACATACAGTGAATTGCAGTAGTCTAAGCGGGACGTAATGAATGCATGTATGACTCTCTCAAAGTCTTTGCGTAGCAGGTAGGGCTTGACTTTAGCCAGAAGTCTCAGCTGGAAGAAGCTAGTTTTGACGACAGAACTAATCTGTTTGTCAAGTTTAAAAGCACTGTCAAAAATCACTCCCAGATTTCTGGTAAAAGGACGAATTTGGGAGCCTAAAATACTGAGAGTATCTACACAGGCACTGAGATGTTCAGCACGTCCAAACACAACAACCTCGGTCTTACTGTCATTAAGACAGAGAAAATTCTGATCCATCCATACTTTGAGATCACTCAAGCAGTTTATCAGCGGCTTGATAGTGTCCTTCTTATTGTTTTTTACAGGCAAGTAAATTTGTACATCATCAGCAAAACAATGATAAGAGATGTTGTGTTTTTTAAAAATGGACCCTAAGGGCAGCATATACAGAGAAAATAGCATTGGTCCCAAAATGGAACCTTGGGGGACCCCACAGGACAGAGGGGCAACAGATGAAGAGCAGTTACCAATGTGGACAGAAAAACTCCTATCTGTCAAGTAGGATTCAAACCATTTTAAGGCTATACCTGTAATGCCAACACTTTGCTTGAGTCGGGATAAAAGGATAGAGTGGTTGACAGTGTCAAAGGCAGCAGTCAAATCTAAGAGCACTAAAACATCAGAATTTCCTGAATCTACAGCTAAGAGGAGGTCGTTGTAGACTCTTAGAAGGGCAGTTTCAGTGCTGTGGCGGGGCTTAAAGCCAGACTGAAACTTTTCATGAATACTAAATTCATCTAAAAATGATTGAAGTTGATTAAAAACCACCTTCTCCAAGACCTTAGATAAAAAAGGTAATTTAGAAATAGGTCTAAAGTTAGACAAAACTAACGGATCCAGATTTTTCTTTTTTAAGAGTGGTTGCACAACAGCATGTTTAAAAGCGGCTGGAACACACCCTGAGCTGAGAGATGAGTTAACCAAGGATAAAATACTGGACCCAACAGTGTTAAAAACATCTTTAAGTAAGCGTGCAGGAATACTATCCAGTAGGCAGTTAGCCGGACGAAGCTGTTTGACTATGTCAGAAAGAAGGTTTAGTGAAACTGGCTCAAACTGCTGAAAGACCGCTGGGCATGAAAAAGTAACAGAGGAGCCATCGGAAGAAACAGGGGATGAAAAGCTCAGGCCAGCAATTTTATCTATGAAATGTTTCAGGAAGTTTTCACATAACAATGTGGATGGCACAGCACGGTCATTTTCACAAGGATTAATAAGTGAGTTAAACACTTTAAAAAGAACCTGAGGCCTCTGGGTGTTACTAGCAACCAGGTGAGATAAATAATGAGTTTTAGCAGATTTAACTGCTCCCTGGTATTTATGTAATAAATCTTTTAAAATTTGAAGTGACACTTGGAGTTTGTCCTTCTTCCACTTTCTCTCAGCTGTTCTGCAAGCCCGTCAGAGAGCAAGTATTTTCATTCAGCCAAGGTTCTTTTAGAGGTTTTATGCGTTTCTCCCTCAGTGGGGCAACAGAGGCAAGTATCTCAGTACAAGTAGAGTCAAAGATGCTGACGAGTTCCTCCACATTAAGAAAATCACCAAGATTGTAAAGCACTGAGTTTTTAAAAGCAGCAGAAAACTGTGAAGCAGTTTGAGGGTTAATTGCACGGACACAGCACGCAGGGGAAACAGACAAAGTGTCCGAGCAGGGGACAACCATAGTAAATACAACGGGTAGGTGATCTGAAATGCATGTGTCGCATATTTCACTAATGGCAACATCTAAGCCATATGACAGTACAAGGTCCAACGTATGTCCTTTTTCGTGAGTCGGGCCAGTAACAGACTGCGTGAGACTGAAAGAGTCAATAAGATCGAGAAAATCCTTAGACATCGGCCTGGATTCGCAGCAAACATGTATATTGAAATCACCAACGATCAAAAAGCGATCATATTTCAAGGCAATTCCGGCGACAAAGTCTGCAAAGTCCTGAATGAAATCCTTATTAAACTTTGGAGGTCGATAAACCACAGCACATAAAACAGTCACTGGAAGATGTGCCTCAAACAGCTGCAGCTCAAAGCTGGAGCAGCTGTCAAACGAAATCTCCCGACATGGAAAAGCACACTTGAACACAGCGGCCAATCCTCCACCTCTACCTGTGGTCCGGGGGGAGCTGAGGAAGCCACATCGGGGAGGCAAAAGTTCAGAAAAAGGCGTGAGCTCGCCATCACGAAGCCAGGTTTCTGTTAAGAACATAAAATCCAACTCACGAGAAGTGAAGAAGTCATTGAGGAGAAAAGTCTTGTTGGCTAGCGATCTAGCATTAAACAAAGCAAGGCGAAAAGTTTGATCCTCACTGGCTGGAGGCGCGGCACGATCCAGCGGGCGCAGGTTAGAAAAATCCACACCACCTCGGCGGAACCGAGCGTACCTGGGAGAAGATCCAAGTGCTGGCTCGGTCCGTGGTGCCGTCAGGAGAAGGTGGGCCTCAGAGATAACCTGTGGGCCAGGGACAATGGGACGAAGCCAGCGGTCTCTCATCCCCAGCAAGCGCCCGGCAGCAGAAACGTAGCATCCATCAGGGCACGTCACACAGGTGAGCGCCAAGTAAGTCTTGAATCTGACCAGCACACCTCCGCGCTTTCCCCGTCGCCTGTAGCGTTTCTTACGGGGAAGGGCAGCATGTGAGCGGCGCAGGTGCTCAGGTATATCCGACAGCAGAGGAGGAATCCTCGAGGTCGAGTGATCTGCCAAAACATGTCTTTCAGACAATGAGTCAGCAGCCAGTCGAATGTTGATAAGTGCTTGGCGATCATAAACTAGTAAAGCAGAGACATCTTGACTGAATGAACAGATAAATAGAGCGATAGCAAACAATAGACTAAGCACACGAAACGGAGACAGACGGCTTGCCATGTACACTAGCGCCATCTTGGTCATCATTAACTATCAATGAGTCTCGAGACATGGCTGAGAACTTCAAACACTGTGTTGATGTGGAGTTTGAAAATATTCCTGAGGATGCTGGCTTCCATCACACATGCTACCGTAGATTTACGGACAAAAAAATCCATCGCAAAGGTGGAAAGACGTCTCGTACGTGAGAGACAAGAAGTGACTGAAGACCACGAGGCCATTCCATCGACTTCTAGGGCCACGAGTCCAACAAAGAAACTGCGATCCAGGTCAGGGCTGCCAATCGCAGGCTCTGGCCCAGTTCTTCCTGCCCTGTGCATAATTTGCCAAAAAAAGGAGAAGTTCATCAACCGAGCAGGCAAACGACAAAGGGATCATCTGTCAAAGGCTGTAACATTAACAGCAGGTAAACACACAGACTGTGGTTGAGTGACTGAAAGGTACAATTATGTGTGAGAACTCATTGAGTTATCCTTTTTGTTTTGTCAAGGCCAATTGCAGAAAGCTGCAGAGTTGAAGGATGACCAAAGTATTCTTTTGCATATAAAATACAAAGACTGTGGCTCTGGAGGTGCAGTACTACAAAGGCTGTTATAATCAGTACACCAGGTTTTTGACGAGGCCTGAAAAAACAGAGAAAGAACAGTAAGTTATTTATTATATTGCATTTCAAGGAGCTACTAACTTAACATTATATAAGTAAAAATTCAATCTGCATTCTGCTGTATGTGCACACAATCACAACACTTATTCATTTCTTTCCTTCTCATTCATATGCGTTCTAAGAATGAGCCCACGTTTGATGTCAGCTATAAGATATTCTGTGAGAGGATCACTCGCCAAAGGCTGATTGTCAACCAAGAGGTGCTGAGAATGGTCCAGCTGAGGAAGGCCTTCATTGAACTGGTGAAAGCAAATGAAGGTCTTGATGCTTCAAACTACAGGTAACTGCAATGCATTTTTCTCTCAAGTTGTATTATTTGTCATGTCCAGCTTTACACATGTGTGTGACAGGCCTGAGAAACTGTTTTTAAGTCTTACTGTTTGCACAGACAGTTGGCAACAAGGAGAACAGCTGGTGTGTGTTTGCGTGTGTGGTTTGTGGTTTCACTCTCTGCTTTTCATGATACTCCTGTGACTCCTAATTGTCAGTGTTTTGTTGTGTTGCAGACAGGATATGTTGAAGAAGAGGCTGACTCGTGATTTCCCCCAGCTGGCGTTTCACATGCCCTTGGTGCGCAACATCTGCGAGCTGTTTTTTTACAGAGACCCTGTCAACCCGTACACTCGTGGACAAGATACCTTACCCATCAGGTGCGGAAACCACACAGTCTGAGTTGAGCCAGACAGACAGCGAGACTGAAAAAGGGACAACAGAGCACCAACAACACAAGAGGACACTGGATAATTTTGTAGACATTGCTGATGACTTGCACTTGAAAGTGTTGTCTGTTTGTCAGGACATTGTATACCTTGCTTCCAAGGGCCGTAAGCAGACACCTAAGTCCTTGACTTTAGGTTTGACTGTTCGACATTTAACAGGATCATCACGCATTGTGTCACTGCTTAATAAACTGGGACATTGTGCCCCACGATGCACAGTTTTGAGTCTAGACACTAGCCTTGCCCAACTGACACTAGGATAAGGTGGAGACAAAATACCAAAGGGATTCTCAAAGAGAGCACCCACAACACTTGTGTGTAATAACATTGACTTTGGGGAGGAGACTATCAGGTCGTGGAACTACTCACCATACCAATGGAATCATGCTCCAGAGTTTGACCATCGAGCCTATGTCCACAGCAATCAGACAGCCACTAAGGAAGGGAGTTTCCTCATTCAAAGCCCCCCCCCAAAATGCCTATAGAACCGTACCATCCGTCCAAAAGGCAAGGGCCACAGAACTTGGGTCAACAAGTGCAGGCAGCAACATGCAGAATGGACACCCACTTTGCTGCACAAGCTGAATTGTTATATGTCTTTGTGAAGTCCACAGATACGGATAGATGTGCAATCCCAAGCTGGACAGGTTTCCATACACTGCTTCAAGGTGAAAATACTCTGCAGAAGTCAGTATTGTATTATCTTCCAGTAATTGAGGCCTCTCACACAGAGATGTCAACAGTGAACACTATCCTGAAGCGAAGTGTCCAGATGGCTGATCAGCTAGAACTGGATCATATAGTTTTAGTGTTTGACCCGGCTATATATGCCAAGGCACAGCAAATACGCTGGAAGAACGATGACTTTACACAACGTTTAGTGATTAGATTAGGCAAATTCCACACATGCATGTCCTACCTGAGTATTTTAGGCAAAAGGTTTGGAGATGCAGGACTGCAAGACATCCTCATTGAATCAGAAGTTGTTGCCCCAGGATCCATCAATGGGGTAATAAATGGTCATCACTACAATCGCAGCATGAGGGCTCATAAACTTCTCTATGAGAGTCTACAGCGCATCAGGTTCATCAGCTTCTTGGACTCCTTGCCACCACAAGAGAGAGCTGTGTGCATGAATGTCATCAGTGACATGAAATGTGTCTTTCCAGACGGATTGATGGATGTTTTGAGTGCAGATGAGAGGTTTGATGGTATAAGTTCCAAATATGCTGACTTTGTGCAGAGGAAAAGTACAGAGAATGCAACATTTGCTTTCTGGAGCTCATACATTGACATGATGCAGTTCCTGTTTGTGAGAGCAACGCGAGAGTCAAACTGGCAACTTCACCTGTCAACAGTCCGATTAATGATGCCATGGTTTTTTGCAAAAGGTGGTTGGACAGGGATCACACAAAATCGGTCGGCTGTGTATCGCTGGATACTGTCACGGCATGAAAGAGCCGCTATAGCAAGACAGTGTGAATCAATGGCTGGGATATCACCTGAGCTGAGGACTCGAAAAGACCTTGACAACACACGCATCGATGCTGATGAAAATGCTGTGAGCAGAATCATTTCCACCATTGATTCCATGCTCAACCCTTTTGATGTGTACCAAGACGGCATTGTGTGTCTTAGCTCTGGAAGACCAGCAACAGCAGACATCATGAATGATTTGCTTGTTGCCTCAGAAAAGGGTGAAAATGCCGTAAAAGAATTTATGGACCAGAGACTGTTATCGAATGCAGTTGACATATTTGCCCCCATAAAATCACAAAAACTCAAGACCTTCAATGATCAGGTTAAGCCAAAAAAAATCTGCAGCAGGCAAGGAAGTGATTTGGCGTGATGACAAAAAGTTGTTTTCCAGGCTCCTCATCCTTGGTCAGAGCAGAAAAATTGAAATGAGGGAGATTCTGTCATATTCCTTGGGAACTGTGTCCTATCCATTAGCAAGTGCTGATGGTTTACTTGCCAAAACAAAGAAATCAGCTCTCATGGACCTATTAGAGAAAAAAGGTGGAGACTGCTTGGTTGACCAAGTTCCAGTGGATGGTGCCATTGTTTTTGATGGCATGGCAGTCATGCAGGCCATGCGATCCAGACCAGATACATTTGGAGAGCTTGCAGAGACCATACTGCAGAACATACTCCAACTCGCTTTGCAGCACAAGTGTACACGCATTGACTTTGTCACTGACCAGTATCCACTCATCAGTATCAAAAACATAGAACGGTCACGTAGAGCTGATGCAGGGTCACAACGCATGCAAATCTTTGGCCCAGAATCAGAAGACCCCAACCCAATGGAAAAAGTTTCTCTCAGAAGGAACAAATAAGGAAGCAATTGCCGAATTCTTGTATGTTGCATGGAAAAATGCAGACCTTACAGCAGTGGGCAAACACCTCTGCTTGTGCATGGCACATACAAATCAATGTCACTGTGTGACTGTTAAGGAGGGTGTACAGTCTGTTCGTGTTGTTGAAGACCTGCAGTGTGATCATGAAGAATGTGACACAACGGTGTTTTTACATGCACAACATGCTGCACGGGAGCATAAAGCTGTCATTATCAAGAGATCTGACACTGATGTGGCAGTCATTGCTGTAAATGTGCAGACAGATTTGCCATGCAGTTTATATGTTTTCACAGGGACTGGCAACAGGACACGTATCATTGACATTGCCAAGGTGTCATCAGCTCTCGGAACCAGTGTGTGTTCAGCCTTGATCGGAATTCACACATTCTCTGTGTGTGACTCCACAAATGCAACAGACATTTTCTGTTGCATGTAAGAAAGGTGAGTACCTAAAGGCTTTTAAAAGTTTAGGTACTAACTAACTTGGAGCAGTCAACATTTCCACTTCTTTGCCAGTATGTATGCCACTTATATGATCAGCCAGCTGCCGATAACGTAAATGAAGCTAGGTACAAGGCTTTCTGTATGGCATCATCAGCCTTGGCAGAATTATGCATTCCTCTTACAACTGATGCCCTCCATCAGCACTGCAAAAGGGCAAACTACCAGGCTGCAATTATGAGGTCCTGTCTCAAACAAAACATAAATGCTCCATCACCTGCTGGATATGGTGGGCAAATAGAGGGTGGGACCTTGCACATCACCTGGATGACCAGAAATCCGGCCCCTGACAGTGTTTTGAATGTGATACACTGCGGCTGCAAAGGTGCCTGTGAGACAGGCAGATGTTCCTGTTTTTCTGCAGGATTGTGTTGCACAGACTTATGTCGTTGCTGTAATTTTGCCAACACAAAAAAAACTGAGGAACTGGAAGATAACGGTCCTGACACTGACAGTGAGGACTGAGTGTCCTTAATCTGTTTTTTCTTATTTAGTTTTGTACAGTTTTACATATCATATTTCATATTTTTCATAAAGATTGTTTTATGGTTCATCAGTGTTGTTTTCATTTGTGGAAGAGTGAATGAATGAATGAATGAACGAACAAACAAATGGTCATTGGTATAAGTACAATTACTACCTTTTATTGATACAAGGAAGGTTTATTTGTCACATACATAGAAATACTTACGTAAAGCATGTAGTGAAATTTCGTTTGCTGTTAAGCTTTTTCTGTGCGAGTGTGAAGAAAGAAAGATCAAGAAATATTAGTCATAAATAGCAAAAGGAAGTATAAAGTGCAGTGTGTGTACAGTCCATGTGCAAGTGTGAAAAAAAGTGTAATTGCTGTTTATATAGTCATTGTGTGTGTTCAGGATACGGAATGCTTGAGGAAAGAAGCTCCTCCTCAGTCGCTCTGATCTGGTCTTGTAGCAGCAGAAACGTTTGCCTGACCTCAGTGTTTTGAAAAGTCCATGGTTAGGATGTTAGGAGTCCTTTACAATACTTTGAGCCCTGGTACGTAGTCTTCTCTTGTAGGTCTCCTGCAGAATAGGGAGAGGTGCTCTGATGATGGCACTGCAGTCACGGGCTGTACAGTTCCCATACCAAGTGATGATGCTGTCAGGACACACAGCCGATGGGTGCTGATGCTTTGAACTTCCTCAGCTGACGTAGGAAGTACAGTCTTTGCCTTGATTTCAGTGTGCTGGGTGTTCACAGTCCATGTTAGATTGTCAGTAAGGTGTATTCCCAGGTATGTCAATCTCTACTTTGAGAACTAATCAATGGGTATTTAATTATATGAACAAACAATAACACTGGGTGGGTGCCATCAAGAGGTGTCTAAAATTGAATGTCTGTATATAATAGGAGTTACCAGTATTTTCATTTAAATTAATGTTAACAAAAGAATTTGCCTGAGCTTGATTGTGTGCATGACTGTTTAGATATCCAGTGAATGCACAAAAGCTGCTGGATTAAAGTATTAACCTTATTCTGTATTGTTTCATGATCAGCCAACAGACAGTACCTTCATGATGGAGGTTATGTAAAAGGAAAAATGACTTTCTTGAAATTATATTTATTTCCTTTTGACTATATCTGTTGTGCTTGTGAAGAAGCGACCACCCAAACGCAAGGGAACATAGTGTTTTAATGAACACAAACAGAAGAATACAGGCATTTGGCTGGCAACGGTGAATCCCAGTGAGCAGAGAACGAGGTCCAGGCCGAGGGAGAGCACACCAGACAGCAGGCAGCTCATGAAAAACAGGAGGCTGGATAAAGCAGAGGTTAGTAACGGGACAATAATAGTTCAGCACGAACCGACAGGACACAACAAGGCAGGCGATACAGGACAGCAAGCTCAGGTACGTCGGGTGCACAGGTAATGCTCTGGCGGAGAATGAGGAAGAGGGAGGCTAGAAATAGAGTCTAATTAGAGGAAGCAGGAACAGGTGAGGGGAAGAGAGGATGATGATATGAGAGAATGGGAAGCAGCTGGGACTAAATGAGCAGGTGTAATTAAGTGTGTGTGTGTGTGTGTGTGTGTGTGTGTGTGTGTGTGTGTGTGTGTGTGAAGGGTGGGGGTGCGAGTGTGTGTAAATTACAAGAAAGGGGTGGAAAGGAAAAAGAGGAAGGTACCCGGTTTATGACAATATCATGCTATAAACTGTTTTTCTGTTTTTTATTGTTTACTAGGGAGACAAAAATGTATTTCTTAAAAAGTATTTTATTAAAGAATCACTAGATTCATCTATATGGTGTTTTTTCACCTCCATTGTTATTACTGTGCATGAATGCAATGCATAAATCAAGTTCTGATGTTTTGTGAATGCGCTGAATGATATCTGCCATCAAGTGTTGCGTTTGAGCAGATAAGTCCGTAAAAAAATTTAGTTTTGTTTTAAGCCTAGTACTCTTGACAAAAATATATAATATTACTAGTGGGTGAAATAAAATCATCTCTGCTTTGTTTTTTAATGCAGAAATAAATGTGTTCAAAATCATCTCTGTAATTGTGTCTTGGTTTTGTACTGCAACGATTTGAACATTTCTTACCACTACTTAGCTTTCTCGATCACTTCCTGATGTGTCTTCAACACTGAGAAAAAAATTTGGTCTTTGAATAAACTGCTACCACATTCTGTGATTACACTTGCATCAATATTTACATTTTGCATTCCTTCGGAGGGCGCTGCAGGAAAGTGGTTATCGTAACCAAGGCAACGAGTTCCCTTAGACTATATTAGCTTAGCTGAACTTAAACGGGAAGCTATTGCATCACTTATCTGCGTTTTATGACTAAACCAATTACAACGAACTCTTAAGGACAGAGTACAGGATAGTATTGTCACATATTGTCAAAATATGAAAAGAAAACGGCAACAGTCGAGGCATCATTGCCGCAAAGTGGAGGCAAGTTGTGGCAGCTGCCACGACAGTGCCGTGAACGAAAACTAGACTAAAACTAAGAAGGATTAAAATAACTAAATGTGACTAAAACTAATATGCATTTTTCGTCTAAAGACTAAGACTAAAGACTAAATCAAAAATAGCTGCCAAAATTAACACTGCACGACTCGCCACGGCAACTCAACCTGCAGATAACAGTCGTACTTGAACTGTATTATACTGTCACATGTTGTATACATATGAATACCAAAATTAACGGAAACTGCCGCGGCACCTGTCCCTTAAACTCCCGGTACCTCTATCAGCCGAGGCACAGCTCCCTTAATAGCCGTGGCACCTCTCCCTTAAACTCCCGGTACCTCTATCAGCCGAGGCACCGCTCTCTTTGGTCGTTGCATGGCTCCATTAGGTCGTGGCAAGACTCCTTTAACTCAAGGTACTGATAGAGGTACCTCTCTCGACCGATGAACCGGCCCCTGAATTCGTGGTACCGCTTGAGGTACCTCACTCAGCCGAGGCAACAGGCGAGGCAGTTGCCGTAAACTCGAGGCAGCTGCCACGATTCGCCGCGGCACCGCAACCTACAACAGGCACAACAAAATTAGGCACTTACTATAATCATAATGAATGTGTTTGGTCCATCTCAGGTCCTGCAGGCAGAACACAATGAGGAACCTGATGGTGCTGATCCACAGCCCGGGTCACTGTAGCAGAGGGGCCATGCCATGAAAGTCTTGCTGCAGTGCCGTGGATTCCTCTTATTCTGGACGGGACATCTACATGCATGTCCTTCAACTGGCTTCAATTTTTGGATGACGTTTCCAATCGACATACTTGATGCACATCTCATGTGTTGATTCTTAAACAAGTATGCACTTTTAACTAATCACAAATAAAACAAGGTAAATAGATGTGTGTATTTTGCTCACTCACATTATAATAAGGTGGTATAAAAAGCTGTAGTATAAAATGATTCTTTGAAACATTGTTTTACTGAAGAATAGAAAAAGATAACAAAATTAGCACAAGGTAAACACATTATAACACAAAACCATGCTCTTGCCAACACATTTTATCACACTTATCAAATCATGCACCATAGGAGTGTTTAAAATATTCATAGTCTTTAATGTAGGCAGTTTACTGCACAGGCTGTATTGAAAGAATTTAAGCTATTACCTGAGGGAGTGTCATTCTTTAATAAAAGACTCACTAACAACATGAAAACAAAGTAAAGTGCTGCTGCATTTAAAATAATTTTGACAAAATAGAAAGTGAACTTACGTGTTGCTTGTGACAGTAGCCTCCTGTCAGTGTTTAATGGTGGATGCCAGTGGCGGCTGATCGATAGGGGCCAATGGGGTGTGTTCCCACCTTGAGCCAATTTTTTTTAAAGATTCAAATTTTTTTTATAATTAAAAATACATTTTACATTTTACAATAGTCAATATGTGCCTATTTGTGTTTATGAAACATGTAATATACCCAGTATTATTTATAAAATACCCAGTGGCGGCTGGTGTTTTTTTTGGTAGGGCCAGCCAAGCAGTTTCAGTAAACATCGCAGTATGATTCAATGCAAAATAGAGTATCAAACATGATTATTACTTTGCAGTTAAATATTTAACATTTGTTCCAACAGTTAAACATAATAAGGACATCTTATTCAAACAATTAAGTATATTCATGGATATATATATAAACAATATTCAGAATGATGACTACCATATAATAACTATTATAAATATCTACTATAAATATATAATAAATGTATTATATTAAAGGATAAATATATTACAATAAAATTATATTTATATGAAATCTATTAGAACATATATATGTATATATTGAGATGAACCTAGTTTGTTGGGGAAACACCCGATCAGTGTGTTGAGGAAAGACCAACTCAAAAGCCCCACAAAACTTCGCAGCTGGGTAGCGATGTTAACTTTAACATGGCAACGTCATGCGCGCGGTACGTGAATATACGCTGTTGGCACGTAGCTAACTAGCTAGCTAAACCTGGTTTAGAAGTCTCTACAGAAGCGTCGTATGTGCTTCCCTTTCACGCTGGTCCGTTGTCTGATCATGAGCTGATCTGATCTGGGTCCAGCTGTTTTATCTATAATTTCTCCGGTCAAGTTCTTCTCTCATACCGAGTTCTGGTCGGGTCTTCATAGAAGGACACTGCCAGTGGTCGCTCTTGTTATGTTGTTAAATGAGGCGTCGCGAGACTTGCCGTGACGAGAGCGCGAAGGGCGGATCCAAATCTCAATGCAACAGCTCCAGCAGGGGACCCCAAACTTCCCTTTCCCGGGCAACATCTACCAGCTCTGACTGGGGGATCCCAAGGCATTCCCAGGCCAGTGCAGAGATATAATCTCTCTACCTAGTCCTAGGGTCTTTGCCGGGGCCTCTTCCCAGCTGGCCGTGCCTGGAACACCTCCCTAGGGAGGCGCCCAGGGGGCATCCTCACCAGATGCCCAAACCACCTCAACTGGCTTCTTTCAACGCAAAGGAGCAGCGGCTCTACTCCGAATACCGCCCCCACTGCTCCAATTCTCCGGCCAAACTCACACTCCATCTTCCCCTCACTCGTGAACAAGACCCCAAGGTACTTGAACTCCTTTACTTGGGTAAGGACACATTCCCTACATGGAGTAGGCAATCCATCGGTTTCCTGCTGAGAACCATGGCCTCAGATTTAGAGGTGCTAATCCTCATCCCGACCGCTTCACACTCGAGTGCGAAATGCTCCAGTGAGTGCGTTTTTGGCAGTAGTAGTTTGGCAGATGCAGAGAGGAGTGTTAAGAATGGAATGTAGGGTTTGACCATGTCCTGGATGTAGACTGGACCCGATCCATTCACATTATGGTACGTGAGTACCAGTGTGTTGAACTGAATGCAGGCAGCCACTGGTAGCCAGTGAAGAGAGTGGAGGAGTGGAGTAGTGTGGCAAAATTTCGGAAGGTTAAAAACCAGTTGAGCTGCTGCCTTCTGGATGAGCTGCAGAAGTCGAATGGCGATAGCAGCGAGACCTGCCAGGAGTGAGTTACAATAGTCAACACGGGAAATGACAAGAGCCTGAATCAGTACCTGCGCCGCCTTCTCGGAGAGAAGGAGACATATTCTCCTGATGTTGTAGAGTGTGTACAGGATTGTATTGTCGCTGTGATGTTGGGAGTCAGGGGGAGTTGGCTGTCATACCGAAGTTCCTAGCAGTCAAATTTGGCGTTAACATGGAGTTCCCAAAGTTAACAGTCAGGTCCTGGCTAGGAGAATGTTTTCCCGGGAAGAGAAGTAATTCAGTCATATCAGGTTTGATTTTTAGATGGTGAGTGGACATCCACTGAAAGATGTCAGTCAGACAGGCAGAGATCCATGCCGCTACCGGAGTGTCCGAGTGAGGTAAGGATAGAATTAGTTGGGTGTCATCGGCATAGCAGTGGTAGGAGAAGCCATGCGAGCGAACGACAGAGCTGAGAGAGTTGGTGTAGAGAGAGAAGAGGAGGGGACCGACGACGGAACCCTGAGGAACTCCAGTAGTAAGAGGACAAGGTTCCGACATAGATCCTCTCCAAGTTAGCCTGTAGGTCTGGCCGTCAAGGTAGAGAGAAGGGAGAGAGCAGAGCCTGAGACAGTTCCGGAAGGGAGGAAATAAGGATCTGTGGTTTACTGTGTCAAATGCAGCAGAATGGTCCAGAAGGATGAGGAGAAAAAGGTGGCTCTAGCAGTGTGGAGTTGCTGTGAGACTGGTGGGGGTCAAGGAGGTTTTTATGGTGGAGATAGGAGGAGAGTTGGTCAAAGATAGCACAATCAAGAGTTTTGGACAGAGGGGGAAGAAGAGAGGCCGGTCTGTAGTTGTTTTCTTCAGATGGGTTGAGGTGGGTTTCTTTAGGAGTGGGTTAACTCTCTCCTTCAGAGAGTTGGGGAAACAGCCAGATAATAGGCAAGTGTTAATGAGACAGGTGAGGAAAGGAAGAAGGTCCGGAGCGATAAAATGTAGAATATGGGATGGAATGGGGTCAGGAGGGCAGGTGGTTGGACGTGCAGGTTACTAAGGTAAGAACTTGGTTAGGAGACAGGAGGGGAGAGAGAAGCGAGGGTGATAAAGGTGAAGTCGGTGGTACACAAGTAAAAGGAGATGGGTTTGAGAAAGAGGAGCGTATGTCAGCTATTTTTGGGGTAAAAATAGTTAACAGTCTCCCAGAAGAAGGGTGGCGGGAGAAGGAGGACTGGGGTCTTCGAGGAGGTAGAAAAGCAGGTCAGTTCTAGATTGCTAGAAAGAGTTTTCGGCAGAGAGATAGAAGCAGAGAAAGAGGAGAGAGATTGAATTGCGAGCAGGTGATCAGGTTTTTTATATTTACGCCCTTTCCTTGACACACACACACAAACAGACACATATAACTCCTGGTGTGTTTCATTTCGGAGACAGATTGTTTGACACTTTGTCTGAGAAGAAATGCACTGAATGTGCTTTTAAGTTTCTATTACAATGTTGAAGCTAGCAAGTTTGGCTACTAGCATTTAAGTAAGTACAGAAGTTGAAACAACCACCAAGGATAGTTTATATAGCAACACTGCTTGTTTTCCTCCTTGGTGTGCAGTTGAGACTGGTGTGATTAAGGCCGTTTCAGGTCCCTGTGATCTTAAGCATCCAGCCAAACAACTTGAAACTACCTAAATCACACAGCTCCAGTATAAAACCAGGGGCTCCACTTGTGGAGACAGCATTAAAAAAAATGGTTCTGGAATTTCACATAACAGGAAAACACTGACCATCAAGTCTGTAATGGATGATTGATTTCTGTTTTGTTCATATATGCACCTCTTCATTATCAGGGTGCTCTCATAAGTCTCTTAACCCTCTCCAGTTGATTCAGAATGCTGCAGAATGTGAAATTAATGAAAATTAAGATTTTTATAAAAAGGATTGAACTGCTCGGAGAAAATTTGGGCTACGCGAAGACGTAATTTCAACGTATTTAATATTTCACATAAAACGTCATAAATATGGAACGATAGACTGTATGCTGTGAAGA